ATTTTAACTAAAATTTCTTCAAGTAAGACAACTCATGGATCACTCACTGACACTCCCTGAACTATGGCCCAGAATCCTTCTCATGTTACAAATGTTCTTATAATCACTTGAGTGATCTGTTTTTATGGAATTCTATTTCCTCTGCCCACTTCTTGGAATTTTGCTTCTTGTGATTTTGTCCTTGTTTATCCTTCTACTTCTACATTCTGTCCATAAATATATTTATATACACTTTAAATATTTACACTACAGAATTAAGATTTCTCATTGCCCTACTTATCAACTGATATTAAAACAGCTCTTAGTTTATATATTTTTTCCATAATGTGTTGTTTTCCATAGAAATCTATGGACACTTTAAACCATTTCTAAACTCTAATTCAACTTTTTACAGGAAATGTTTCTTTCATGAATGTTTCCTATCTAGGTTAATTGTATCAATGCCATAATAAAATATTATTTATTAATCCTTATTTTCAAAATCAACCTATAACATAAGCATGGGGGATTTAATTACTGAGAAGAATGTAAATATTATCTATCTTAACAATGTGAAAGAAGATGCAGTGGAGAGAAGTTGGGTTATGAATGAGATATAGAATGGGGTAGTAAGACGTGGAAGAGTGAAAGTGGGAATCTCTTCATCACACATAGTTGAAAGTTGAGATATAACTAACATAATAACAAAAAACCAGTTATGAATAAAGTAATATTATCAAGGACTGTAAATATAAACAATGAAAATATACAAATTTCTCAAACTAAGGAAAGGATGAGGAAAAAGTCAATAAATTATAACTTAGGAAAGAAAGTATGTTGCTTAAAGGTGTGGAGATAATCACAAGAAATGAAATCATACAAGGTTAAAAGTACCTGCCTTTTCTTTGTGGAGGTAAGGATTGTTTTTCATAAATTGTTATAATTTAGTTGGTTTCACTTTGCTCTCTCTTCTCCCTCATACACACACACACACACAGTGGATGTTATTTATAATATGTATAATATATTTTTGTATATGAGGAAAATACATGTATGTGTAGTATTGTTTGTGTCAAATTCCTAGGTATATGGTAATACCTTTCAATACATACATTTAGGTTTAGTCTTACCTATGAAAATATTTTCAGGATACCTGGGTGGCTCAGTTGGTTAAGCAACTACCTTTGGGTCAGGTCATGATTCTGGAGTCCCAGGATCGAGTCCTGCATGGGGCTCCCTGCTCAGCAGGGAGTCTGCTTTTCCCTCTGACCCCTCCCCTTTCATGCTCTCTCTCTCTCATCTCTCTCTCACAAATGAATAAATAAAATCTTAAAAAAAGAAAATATTTTTCATTTATACTTTTAAATACTAGTTGTTTTATAATTTATTAAATTATTCTTCAAAGGGTCCAGGGATAAGTATCCTGGAGCTTCTTTGCCTCCTCTTTATTTCAAGGTCATTTTTCCTCTTTTCTTCTTTCTTTATTTTTATCTCATAATTGTTTCTTAGTTAATTTCCTGCTTGATTTTAATGACTCTTATGGAATTTTTATTTGAATCTATTTCCCTCTGGATACTTCGTAATTTGTCATTTTTGAATTCTTTTATTCTTTAATTTTGATGAACTTGTTACATTCCTCAATCCCTTTTTTTTTTATATTTTTCATTCCTCTTGGTTTTTTATTTTGAATACAGATTTTAAATATACATCTCCAACTTTTATTTATTTATTTATTTTTTCATCTCCAACTTTTAATTATTTGAATATAGTTGACACAAAATTAGCTTTAGGTATATAACATAGTAACTCAACTTCTCTATACATTTCTCTATGCTAACTTAGCTATCATCCATTACCATTCAACACTATTACAATACCATTGACTATATTTCCTATGCTATGCCTTTCATTCCCATGACTTATTCATTCCATAATTGAAGCTTGTATCTCCTACTCCCTTTTACCTATTTTGCCCATCCTCTCTACTCCCTTTCCTCTGGCAATCATCAGTTTGTTTTCTATATTTATAAGTCTGATTTTGCTTTTTGTTTATTTGTTTATTTTGGATTTTAGATTCCACATATGTGTAAAATCATATGGTATCTGTCTTTCTCAAACTATTTTACATAGCATAAATACCATCTAGGTCCATCCATGTTGTTGAAAATGGCAAGTTCTTTTTTTTTTTTTTTTTTTTTTAACAGTTGTGTAATCTTCCATTGTGTATATATACGACATCTTATCTATTCATCTATACAGGGACACTTGGGTTGCCTCTTATCTTGGTTATTGTAAACAATTCTGTAGTAAACATTGGGGTCCATATATCTTTTTGAATTAGTGTTTTCATTTTCTTTGGGTAAAACACCAGTAGTGAAATTATCAGATCATATAGTATTTTTTTTTTAAGATTTTATTTATTTGATAGACAGAGATCACAAGTAGGCAGAGAGGCAGGCAGAGACAGAAGGGGGAAGCAGGCTCCCTGCTGAGCAGAGAGCCCGATGTGGGGCTTGATCCCAGGACCCTGAGATCATGACCTGAGCAGAAGGCAGAGGCTTTAACCCACTGAGCCACCCAGGTGCCCCATATCATATGGTATTTTTGAAATTTATTTCAATTTGATGTGTTGCATTACAGTTTTATTTTTCTGTTTTGTATTTGTTTTTAGACATAAGTGTCTCATTAGCTGACTTGTCTTGATTAACCTCTTTTTTCTTCCAGTTTTATAGAGGCATAATTGAAAAATACAACTGTAATATATTTAAAATGTACAGGGTGGGGATTTGATATATGTTTATATAGTGAAATGTTTACCACAACCAAGTTAATTAATACATCCATCAGTTTACATAGTTACCTTTTTTGTGTGTGCATGAAAATGCTTAAGATTTACTCTCAGCCAATTTCAAGTATACAATACAGTATCTTAACAACAGTCACCAGACTGTATATTAAATACTCAAAGCTTATTCATCTTATAACTGAAAGTGTGTGCTCTTTTACCAACATCTCCCAATTTCTTCTATCCCTCATTTTCCACCATTCTACTCTGTTTCTATGATTTTGATTTCTTTTTAAGATTCCACATAGGGGTGCCTGGATGGCTCAGTGGGTTAGGCCTCTGCCTTCGGCTCAGGTCATGATCTCAGGATCCCGGGATCGAGTCCCGCATCGGGTTCTCTACTGGGGAGGGAGCCTGCTTCCTCCTCCCTCTCTCTCTCTCTCTCTGCCTGCCTCTCTGCCTACTTGTGGTCTCTCTTTGTCAAATAAGTAAAATCTTAAAAAAAAAAAAAGATTCCACATAAAAAATATTTCACCACATATATATAATATATTATATAAATATATAAAAAATATATATAGTGATATATAATGTGTTTTTTGTGTGTATATATATACACACACAATGGTGTATATATATATACACACACAATGGTGTATATATATATACATATATATATATACACACACAAGGGTGTATATATATATACATATATATATATGTATATATATATAACATTTCTTTACTCATTCTTCTTTTGAGGGACACCAACATTGTTTCCATACCTTGGCTATTGTGAATAATGTTGCAATAAACATTCATCACCATACCCTCCTTATAACAAACGTATCTTAAAAGTTTGTCCAATTTTATAAATCTAAAAGTTACTTTATTTTAGATTATTTTAGGTTAAATAATATTCACAGATTTATGTGTCATATTTTTATGGGGAGAAATTTGTGAATTATCTGCTTATGTCTTTTGTCCATTCTAGGATATTTGTTTTTTTTAATCTTCATAATTTCTTTAAGTATTCTTTATATATAAATGGCATCATGTTTTTTTTTTATTTTTTGTTACAAATGTTTACCCAATTATCCATTTATATTTCTATATTATTTAGAACATTATATTCATCTACAGAATTTTTAATGTAGTTAAATTTAATAATCATTTTATTGTAAATTCTTCCTTTTTAGCTAGAGCTTAGAAAGCCTTTCTCAATCTTTTTTTTTTTAAGATTTATTTATTTATTTATTTGACAGACAGAGATCACAAGTAGGCAGAGAGGCAGGCAGAGAGAGAGGAGAAAGCAGGCTCCCCGTGGAGCAGAGAGCCGGATGTGGGGCTCGATCCCAGGACCCTGGGATCATGACCTGAGCCGAAGGCAGAGGCTTTAACCCACTGAGCCACCCAGGCGCCCCGCCTTTCTCAATCTTAATATCAGTAAAAGATTTGTGCACATTTTTCCATTTGTTATGATTTTAAACTTACATTTATTACTCAATCTAAAATTTATATTTGTGTATAATATATGGTAATAAAAATGAATGTTTTTCTAAGTCTACCAGGACTGCTTCAGAGTATTCTTCTGCTCTATGGCTTTTAAAATGACACCAACACTAAATTACCTTAATTATTGTAGTTTTGTATATTTTAGTAACTGGTAGGGCAAGAACCATATTATTTTACTGCTCTTTGGCTAGCTCTATAAAATAATATTTTGAAGCTATAATAAACATTTTATTGCTTTTGGAATTTACACATAATGTATGATTCTTTCATGTATATCATTAAGTCACTGCGATTTAAATATATATTTGGTTGATATTTCAGTAGCAAAAGATATCATGAATCTTGATGACACACAAATCATTACAACTAAAGTTATGTAGTTATGGAAATCAAATGCTCAGATAGCTTCACTGAAATCAATTTGATTTACCAATTTCTTTGTAAAATAATATGCTAATATGAAGCACAGAAAAGATTCCTAAGGTGACATGGTATAAAGGAGATTTCTAAAATAATTTTTGGCCATTTATGAGAAACTTTTCCATATTTATTTACCAAAACCTCTAGAACTACACACCTACAGCTTTCTAATTCTATATTATTTGTGTTTCTCCCATCATTTAGTTTTTAGCACCTGCCTCTTAGAGAAACTTAGGTTTCACTACTGTGACAAATGTTACTACCAATTATAAATGTTACGCTTCATTTTCCACATAATTACCTTGTGAAGTCTGTCATCTCCATCATAATCATACACATCTTCTTGGCCAGAACAATGATATCATTGCTGGTATCATCCCAAATCTCAATCTCAGCATCCAGTTTACTCTTTACTTTCTTGAAATCAGCAACTTGCTCAGCAATCTTTTCCTTTTCTGCCTCGGGCAATTGAGTCATCTTAGCCTAAAACATGTGATAAGTAGATTTATAATCATTCCACTATGCCAAAAAGCATTTTAGGAACAAGTGGTCATTATAGGATATTCTTAAACTTGTTCATTGAGAAACAAAGACATGTCATAATTTTTTAAAAATCATAGAATCAAACTTTCTAGGCTTAATTTTTCCTATGAAAAAAATCTATTAAACAATAAATGTTTGCTCTAGAACTACAATGTTAAATTTGAGAATAACAATGTATAATTTAGTATCTGACATATTTAATTCTTCTCCTTAATATAAATGTGAGACTTCTTAAATTTCTAATGCAATATAATTTTAAATTAACTCCGGCTTAATACATTAAAAAGCATATACCTTATTTAATTGTACCAATTATTTTTCAAAAGGTAGAAGTATAACAAAACTATCTGGAAATGTCTACTGGCATTATAATGTCTGTTTATACATGTATGTATATACATTCAGACAGATCCTTACACAAACATTGCATATATATTGGGTAAACAATAATAATATACATTTATAAATCATATGTATTAGATAAGCACATGTTTAAAATCATAAAGATGTATATGGGTATTTTGTACATATAAATACGTTCAAGTGTGTATGTGTACACAAACTATTTGAGGGAAGAGTAAAAATGTTATGGGCAGGGTTTATTAAGGCAGCCTTCACTAATTAGCATCCTGAGTTTTGAGGTTCTCTTCTCCCATGCCCAGCTAACTTGTTGGGTTGGCTTGTATTATTCTTTGGATATGTCGAATTTTTAACAGCGTGTAACTTGCATTTTCCACTTGGAATCTGAAATGTGGGAAGGATAGAAAACCATCTAAACCATCATATTCGCAGCATTAGCACCTGGGACCTATAACTTTTTGTCAAATGAAGAATCTTGAAGAAAAAGTGATTTGATAGTATCAAGGCCACAAAATTTAGGCAACAGCCTGTGCAATCATATTCTCAAAAAAAAAAATCTATATGCATTCTAATAGGATGAGTACATGGGCCTTAGAGGGAGTAGTTAAAATGATAAATCATTTAAGTAAATTTTACTTATTATTCACACTGAATATGTGATACCTACAATGCCTATATACTTTCAGATGCTAGTTTCTAGGACATCCATATAATAGCAAAGAAGGAAAATCACTTCAAAAAGCTTTGAAATATTCTGGACACTAGGCTCAAAGTAGTTGAAATACACTTTATTTAATCAATAGTGTACAAGAGCAAAAAAGCTTAAATATATGAATGAAGGAATTACAAGCATGATCAGTGGAAAATCCAACAAAAAAATGAAAATTAAAGAACCAATATCAAGTGTCTGTCATTTATTGTCTATTTACTATAAGACTAACTCAGGGTCTAAAATAACTCGGTGTCTGTGAAATCTCAGCATAAATTATCCATGCTTCAGTTTTAACCTAGTAATGAAAATAAACAATGAAGCTTTCCAAATCGAAGCTTCCTTTAAATTTCTTAGCATAATGCTTGACACATAGCGAATGTTTAATAAATGAAAACTATTTCCTATTCAGTAAAAAATTTATAAAATATATTCCCATATCAAGTACTTAACATTTTTCATTTTTTGCATTATTTTATTTGAAGAATTAAATTAAGCTATAAGAATGGGCTTTTAACTGATGAGCTATACAGGTGTCTCTTCCTTAGAATCTGAATCATTTGTAGTTTCCTTTCTCAGGCAATGTGGCCTACTAAAAGAAAAGCAACTTTTACTACTGCTGGCATATAGCAAGTGAAGACACAGCTCACCTATGTCTGAAATCAATAGTATGCAAACACATTAAGTAAATTGTAAGCTACTAACCTATTAAAGTAGCTCAAAAATTGACATGAATTTTCTCCATCTCGACTACTGGTCATTACCATTCTCTCCATTTTCATTTAAAAAAAAAAAAAGTTTAAACTTTTCAATAATAATAGATGTAGGTAGATTCAACTGGGACCCCTTTTTATGGTCTTTGTCTCAGAGGTAACAAATCCATGAATTGGGATCTAATAAATAATTTTGAAGTATACAGTGGAATATCATGGAAAATTATTTACCATCCTCATTTTAAAAAAAAGGTTATTCAAGAGGTGTGGTTAAGTGTATTTTAAGTACTGTTCCTTAGAATCCTACTGATTTCCAATATGACCTTAAGGAAGTCCCTTAACCTTCCTGTCTAAGTTTCTCCAGACATGAAATGACAGTAATTGCAGCTGCTACCCACCTGCCATGCAGGGACCAGAGTAGATTATTGGATAGCACTGAGGCTGACCCTGTCACGCACAGGAGTCTCATCGGTTGCACTCAATTTCCTTAATAACATCTCAACTCACATGGTGAATTATAATCACCAGAGGTTTACTTCTGACAGGATAAGGACCAAAAGTTGGGTGATAGTTTATAAAATTGAAAGTTCTAGTAAATTCTCACTCTCCCACAGGAGGAACAACATCCAAAAACCATTAAATGACTGACACCTTTCCTGAAGATTTTTAGTGCTTCTGTGAATGATATATTCTATTAATCAATTTAAATCAAAATAAGACTTAGGAGGACATTTCCTCTTCAGAAATTCTGAGCAAAAATTCTTTATTGGTTAATTGCATGTAGGATAAGGAAAGAAACAAAGCTTAACACAAAGTGGGATTTCTGATGTTATTGCTGGCTGGCAATATGTCCCAGCTTCTGCACGAATCTATAGAGTAGAACTGTGATATAAGTAGCTATCAAAGGCTTTTGGAATCACTGCCATCCCAGTGAGATTATATTTTGTGTCAACTGACATTTGGAATTTTCTGCCAAGACAAAAATAGCTAACACTTAGATATGCCAGACACTCTTCCAGGCACCTTACATATATTTAACTTCACTCTTCATCGCAGCCCTATGAGGTAACTATACTATTATCCTAATTTTAGTATATTATGAAACTGAGTGTGCCTAAGGTTAAGTTATGAACTCAAGATCATAGTGTTAGTAAATGGTAGAGCCAGTATGGAAGCTTAGAAATTCTGGCTCTAGTGTTCTTGTCCTTTTACGACGCCAACAAACATGAGCAACATTGCCCACAATATAACAAAATATTCCCATTCAACTCGATGTTATTTCTGTCACCTTCTCCTTTTGAATCCGATTATTCTCCAAAGTCAAGTCACATATATTCTAGAATCTGTTTCCTCATCTGTAAACTAGAGACAATGATATTCACCTCACAGGTTGTCTTAGAGATCAAACGAATGAATGTGTATGAAGCACTTTTTATTCTCCTTAGTTATCTTTAAATGCCCGCTGTTAACTTATGCTAACAGACTCAGTTCTTCATTCTCTACAGTGATCCTCAGAATTCTATTTCTAATGCTATCTTCCTTTTTTAAAAAATTTGTATTTTTCCATCACCATATTAAGCATTTTCAAGTATCTATATCTCCCCATATCTATAGCTGTATCTGTATCTACACACACACGCTTATATATGATATAACAATATATAATTTATAATTTCAGCTCTAAAGCAGGGGTTAGCAGAATTTTTCTGTAAAAGGCAAGACAGTAAATAATGTATGCGTTTTAGGCCATACCATAGCACTTCCTGGCAAGACTCAATTCTGCTGCTGTTGTAATAATGCAAGAGCAGCCCTACACCATGCAAACCAACGAGTGTGGCTATATCCCAAAAAATTTACATGGGCATTGAAACTTCAGTTTCATATAATGTTCATGTGTCCTAAATATTATTCTGATTACATCTATTCTGATTTTTTTTCAACCACTTAACAATGTAAAAACCATGCCTAGCTCACGGGTTATACAAAAATAGTTGACGGGTCAGATTTGACTGTAGTTTGCCAACATTTGCCCAGTCCTTTATCCTCTTGATTTCTGTGTTTCTCCGTAGTACTGCCTGCCACCCAGTCTTGCATCCCTTTTAAAAAAATTTTTCCTTTCTTTATGTATCCCATTTTGTCTGGCAGACAGAAAGTTGGTCCATTTCATCTCCAGTATTTTTATCACAACCATGTCCTAGTCTGTTTCCCAGGTCAATTTTGTCTTTCATTTTCAATCCTTTTGTCTTGTTATCACTTGATCCAATCTATCTGATTTTCATAGAATTGTGTAAGTCTTCAGCTAAAGACAAGAGCTTCTAAGTCTCCTTACTGAATAAAGAATATTAATTCCTCAAATACCATCCTTCAATTTCTTTAACTAAAGTAGAAAATTTATATAGAAAAATGCCCAAGTCATAAAGGTACACCTGAAACTATTTTCATAAACTGAATGCATCCTTGTACCTAGCACCAATAAAACAAAACAAAACAAAACAAAAAAAAACAAACAAAGGTTTGCCAGCACTCCTGGAAGCCTCCTTGGGACCTATTCTCGTCACTATCTCCCAAGAACCATCACTCTCTTGATTTCAAAAACTATAGATTTTCCTGTTTTTGAATCTTATAAAAATGAAATGATGGTATATGTGATCTTGTACCTGGCTTTTTATGTCCAACATTTATATATTTGAAATACATATACAGTGTTGCATGGTGTTATGTTTATTCTCCTTGCTCTGCACACACAGAACTCCACTGTACAAATGTACATCATCTACTGATGTGCTTCTGTTAATAATCTTTTGGGAAGTATTCCATTTCTGGCTGTTATGAATAGTGAATATTCTCTTATTTTTCTTTTGGTGGACATATTCATGTACTTTTCTTGAGTATATATCAGGTAAAATTACTGGGCCTCAGAGATCAACAAACTTTGCCTGTAATCACTTTTCAATGCCATTTCATCTTCCTTTCATACACTGCACCCTCAAGCTAAACAATTTGCTGTTGCAGGTGAATATATTGAGATAGTACCCATTAATGATTTTGCTGATCTTTCCTCTCCCCATCTTTGTTGGTCCAAACTTAATTCTATTTTCAAGCCAAATGTATGTAGTCCATCCTCTTTTTTCCTCCAGCTGTATATAATTATTCTTTTA